TATAACGTAAATAATTCACAACAACGAAAATCTTTAGGTGTGAATATCTCTTAAACAAAGCTTTTGGGGACATACCTTAGGGAAAATTGTTTTCTTGTTTTAAGGTCTTTAAATCATTTTGCAGTTTGGCCACTTAACTCTGAAACAACCCTGTATAATGGCAAAGAAAAACAAATTACAAAAAGAATCAATGACCTTAACTGTATATGTATATTTTTTTTCTAAATAATTAATACATTTGTATGATTTTGTATTAATGATCTCTTTAACTGGGTTTAAATTCTACTAGCTTATTTTTTTTTTAATTTTTCTATACTTCATTAAATTAAATATATTATTCAAATTCATGTAATTTGTTCACCTGTGAGCTCTTTTCCATTTATAATTATTGTTGTAATATAATAAAATTGGAATTTTAAGGTATTATTTGTTATTTATCAGCTAATAGTATTCATTCCAAGAACAAAACTTTTAATTGATCAAATAATTCACCATTCAAAGGAAATGAAATTGTTATTCAAACATTTCAATTATTTTTTCAATTCAAATTCATTTTCACTGTATATCATGTTATACTTGGAATATAATGGAAGTTCGACCTTTATTTAAAATATAAGAAAATGCTAATAATAAAAAATAAAAAAATAATTTATAGACTATTTAATGTTTTTAATATTTTGATATTATGTATTGTGTAAATCAACCAAAAATATAATATTTTAAAAGATCTTTATTGCTGGACAATTCCCAATTCCAATTTTGGTTTTTTGTTTTTTTTATTTTTTAATGATTGTTTTTATTAAATTCCTGAGCTAATGTTCTGAAAGCAGTTTGCTTTTCATTAGTAACTACTGACTTTCAAAGTGTCTTCTTTTAAATGAAATTAATACTTGAAATGACCGATTCCAAAATCTTATAATCAAACTGCTCCACTACAATAATTATCATTGATTAAATAACAACAGCTGTGGAAAAAACGAAAATTAATACTAAACAATTAATACAAAATAAAGGGGTTACATTACTTTTAATTCCTTCTCCAACCTGTGAGAGAAAGGTTTCACTTCATCTGAGTAATTAGAACCCCCAAGTGCTCTATCCTTTTTAGGAATAGATAGAGAAAATAACACCTTTTCTGTTGCAGAATTATTTTAATATGGGTAGTAATATCGGTACTCCTTGAATTCGAAAGCATGAAATGTGACGTTTACTGGAATAGGACATTCTGTATTAATACTTATTAATGAATATTAATTCACCAACTTAGCCAACTAAAAATTATGTTTAAATGATATATTTAATACGAAAATATAATATCTTATAGCCCTGTATCTAAAAAAATGGATTTAACTGGAAAAAAAAAAAAAACACTGATACAGAGAAAAGGATCTAAGGAGTAAAGAACAAAATTTCCCCTGGAGGTATTTCCGCAAATGCTTTGTTTAGGAGATATTCACACCTAAATACTTTCAATGTTATGCATTGTTTGCGTTACATGAAATAAATTAAACCTATATAGTTGTTGTAGCTACTTTGTTAATTAAATGTACACATTAACATTCTTATTAAATGTTGTTCAAAGTGATTTCCTTGAGCATTAGCACAGGCTCGGAATCTTATGTCGACAGCAGCAGTGGCAGAACGGCACTGGATAAGTGTTTTGTTTTACAAGATTTGGGTAAGACCAGTGGCTTGGCCTGCACACCTGGCACCACTGGATTTTTTTTTTGGGGTGACATTAAATAAAAATTCTATGCAAGTCCAGTCAATGACTTTAATTCGTTACGAAGAAGGATAATTGAATCTTGTGAAATAATAACACATATCCAGTACTGTTCTTCCTTGACTGCTGCTGAAGAAAGATGGCGAGCCTGTGTTAATGCTTAAAAAAAATCACTTTGAACAACATTTAATATGAATGTTAATGTATATATTTAACTGATAAAATAGTTAGAACAAATAAATGGGTTTTATTTACTTCATATAACGTAAATAATTCACAACAACGAAAATCTTTAGGTGTGAATATCTCTTAAACAAAGCATTTGGGGACATACCCTTAGGTAAAATGGTTTTCTTGTTTTGAGGCCTTTAAATCATTTTTGCAGTTTGGCCACTTAACTCTGAAACACCCTGTATAATGGCAAAGAAAAACAAATTACAAGAAGAATCAATGACCTTAACTGTATATGTATATATTTTTTCTAAATAATTAATACATTTGTATGATTTTGTATTAATGATCTCTTTAACTGGGTTTAAATTCTACTAGCTTATTTTTTTTTAATTTTTCTATACTTCATTAAATTAAATATATTATTCAAATTCATGTAATTTGTTCACCTGTGAGCTCTTTTCCATTTATAATTATTGTTGTAATATAATAAAATTGGAATTTTAAGGTATTATTTGTTATTTATCAGCTAATAGTCTTCATTCCAAGAACAAAACTTTTAATTGATCAAATAATTCACCATTCAAAGGAAATGAAATTGTTATTCAAACATTTCAATTATTTTTTCAATTCAAATTTCATTTTCACTGTATATCATGTTATACTTGGAATATAATGGAAGTTCGACCTTTATTTAAAATATAAAGAAAATGCTAATAATAAAAAATTAAAAAATAATTTATAGACTATTTAATGTTTTTAATATTTTGATATTATGTATTGTGTAAATCAACCAAAAATATGAAATTTTAAAAGACCTTTATTGCTGGACAATTCCAATTCCAATTTTGGTTTTTTGTTATTTGTTAATGATTGTTTTATAAAAATTCCTGAGCTAATGTTCTGAAATCAGTTTGCTTTTCATTAGTAACTACTGACTTTCAAAGTGTCTTCTTTTAAGTGAAATTAATACTTGAAATGACCGATTCCAAAATCTTATAATCAAACTGCTCCACTACAATAATTATCATTGATTAAATAACAACAGCTGTGGAAAAAACGAAAATTAATACTAAACAATTAATACAAAATAAAGGGGTTACATTACTTTTAATTCCTTCTCCAACCTGTGAGAGAAAGGTTTCACTTCATCTGACTAATTAGAACCCCCAAGTGCTCTATCTCTTTTTAGGAATAGATAGAGAAAATAACACCTTTTCTATTGCAGAATTATTTTAATATGGGTAGTAATATCGGTACTCCTTGTTTTCGAAAGCATGAAATGTGACGTTTACTGGAATAGGACATTCTGTATTAATACTTATTAATGAATATTAATTCACCAACTTAGCCAACTAAAAATTATGTTTAAATGATATATTTAATACGAAAATATAATATCTAATAGCCCTATATCTAAAAAAATGGATTTAACTGAAAAAAAAACACTGATATAGAGAAAAGGACCTAAGGAGTAAAGAACAAAATTTCCGCTGGAGGTATTTCCGCAAACGCTTTGTTTAGGAGATATTCACACCTAAATACTTTCAATGTTATGCATTATTTGTGTTACATGAAATAAATAAAACCTATTTATTTGTTGTAACTAATTTGTTAATTAAATGTACAAATTAACATTCTTATTAAATTTTGTTCAAAGTGATTTCCTTGAGCATTAACACAGGCTCGGAATCTTATGTCGACAGCAGCAGTGGCAGAACAGCACTGGATAAGTGTTATTGTTTCACAAGATTCGGGTAAGAGCAGTGGCTTGGCCTGCACCACCTGGCACCACTGGATTTTTTTATTTGGGGTGACATTAAATAAAAATTCAATGCAAGTCCGGTCAATGACTTTAATTCCTTACAAAGAAGGATAATTGAATCTTGTGAAACAATAACACATATCCAGTACTGTTCTTCCTCTACTGCTGCTGAAGAAAGATGCCGAGCCTGTGTTAATGCTTAAAAAAAATCACTTTGAACAACATTTAATATGAATGTTAATGTATATATTTAACTGATAAAATAGTTAGAACAAATAAATGGGTTTTATTTACTTCATATAACGTAAATAATTCACAACAACGAAAATCTTTAGGTGTGAATATCTCTTAAACAAAGCATTTGGGGACATACCCTTAGGGAAAATTGTTTTCTTGTTTTAAGGTCTTTAAATCATTTTTGCAGTTTGGCCACTTAACTCTGAAACACCCTGTATAATGGCAAAGAAAAACAAATTACAAAAAGAATCAATGACCTTAACTGTATATATGTATATATTTTTTTCTAAATAATTAATACATTTGTATGATTTTGTATTAATGATCTCTTTAACTGGGTTTAAATTCTACTAGCTTATTTTTTTTTTAATTTTTCTATACTTCATTAAATTAAATATATTATTCAAATTCATGTAATTTGTTCACCTGTGAGCTCTTTTCCATTTATAATTATTGTTGTAATATAATAAAATTGGAATTTTAAGGTATTATTTGTTATTTATCAGCTAATAGTATTCATTCCAAGAACAAAACTTTTAATTGATCAAATAATTCACCATTCAAAGGAAATGAAATTGTTATTCAAACATTTCAATTATTTTTTCAATTCAAATTTCATTTTCACTGTATATCATGTTATACTTGGAATATAATGGAAGTTCGACCTTTATTTAAAATATAAAGAAAATGCTAATAATAAAAAATAAAAAAATAATTTATAGACTATTTAATGTTTTTAATATTTTGATATTATGTATTGTGTAAATCAACCAAAAATATAATATTTTAAAAGATCTTTATTGCTGGACAATTCCAATTCCAATTTTGGTTTTTTGTTATTTTTTAATGATTGTTTTATTAAAATTCCTGAGCTAATGTTCTGAAAGCAGTTTGCTTTTCATTAGTAACTACTGACTTTCAAAGTGTCTTCTTTTAAATGAAATTAATACTTGAAATGACCGATTCCAAAATCTTATAATCAAACTGCTCCACTACAATAATTATCATTGATTAAATAACAACAGCTGTGGAAAAAACGAAAATTAATACTAAACAATTAATACAAAATAAAGGGGTTACATTACTTTTAATTCCTTCTCCAACCTGTGAGAGAAAAGGTTTCACTTCATCTGAGTAATTAGAACCCCCAAGTGCTCTATCTCTTTTTAGGAATAGATAGAGAAAATAACACCTTTTCTGTTGCAGAATTATTTTAATATGGGTAGTAATATCGGTACTCCTTGAATTCGAAAGCATGAAATGTGACGTTTACTGGAATAGGACATTCTGTATTAATACTTATTAATGAATATTAATTCACCAACTTAGCCAACTAAAAATTATGTTTAAATGATATATTTAATACGAAAATATAATATCTTATAGCCCTGTATCTAAAAAAATGGATTTAACTGGAAAAAAAAAAAAACACTGATACAGAGAAAAGGATCTAAGGAGTAAAGAACAAAATTTCCCCTGGAGGTATTTCCGCAAATGCTTTGTTTAGGAGATATTCACACCTAAATACTTTCAATGTTATGCATTGTTTGCGTTACATGAAATAAATTAAACCTATATAGTTGTTGTAGCTACTTTGTTAATTAAATGTACACATTAACATTCTTATTAAATGTTGTTCAAAGTGATTTCCTTGAGCATTAGCACAGGCTCGGAATCTTATGTCGACAGCAGCAGTGGCAGAACGGCACTGGATAAGTGTTTTGTTTTACAAGATTTGGGTAAGACCAGTGGCTTGGCCTGCACACCTGGCACCACTGGATTTTTTTTTTGGGGTGACATTAAATAAAAATTCTATGCAAGTCCAGTCAATGACTTTAATTCGTTACGAAGAAGGATAATTGAATCTTGTGAAATAATAACACATATCCAGTACTGTTCTTCCTTGACTGCTGCTGAAGAAAGATGGCGAGCCTGTGTTAATGCTTAAAAAAAATCACTTTGAACAACATTTAATATGAATGTTAATGTATATATTTAACTGATAAAATAGTTAGAACAAATAAATGGGTTTTATTTACTTCATATAACGTAAATAATTCACAACAACGAAAATCTTTAGGTGTGAATATCTCTTAAACAAAGCATTTGGGGACATACCCTTAGGTAAAATGGTTTTCTTGTTTTGAGGCCTTTAAATCATTTTTGCAGTTTGGCCACTTAACTCTGAAACACCCTGTATAATGGCAAAGAAAAACAAATTACAAGAAGAATCAATGACCTTAACTGTATATATGTATATATTTTTTTCTAAATAATTAATACATTTGTATGATTTTGTATTAATGATCTCTTTAACTGGGTTTAAATTCTACTAGCTTATTTTTTTAAATTTTTCTATACTTCATTAAATTAAATATATTATTCAAATTCATGTAATTTGTTCACCTGTGAGCTCTTTTCCATTTATAATTATTGTTGTAATATAATAAAATTGGAATTTTATGGTTTTATTTGTTATTTATCAGCTAATAGTCTTCATTCCAAGAACAAAACATTTAATTGATCAAATAATTCACCATTCAAAGGAAATGAAATTGTTATTCAAACATTTCAATTATTTTTTTAATTCAAATTTCATTTTCACTGTATAACATGTTATACTTGGAATATAATGGAAGTTCGACTTTTATTTAAAATATAAAGAAAATGCTAATAATAAAAAATTAAAAAATAATTTATAGACTATTTAATGTTTTTAATATTTTGATATTATGTATTGTGTAAATCAACCAAAAATATCAAATTTTAAAAGACCTTTATTGCTGGACAATTCCAATTCCAATTTTGGTTTTTTGTTATTTGTTAATGATTGTTTTATTAAAATTCCTGAGCTAATGTTCTGAAATCAGTTTGCTTTTCATTAGTAACTACTGACTTTCAAAGTGTCTTCTTTTAAGTGAAATTAATACTTGAAATGACCGATTCCAAAATATTATAATCAAACTGCCTCACTACAATAATTATCATTGATTAAATAACAACAGCTGTGGAAAAAACGAAATTTAATACTAAACAATTAATACAAAATAAAGGGGTTACATTACTTTTAAGTTCTTCTCCAACCTGTGAGAGAAGAGGTTTCACTTCATCTGAGTAATTAGAACCCCCAAGTGCTCTATCTGTTTTTAAGAAAAGATAGAGAAAATAATACCTTTTCTGTTGCAGAATTATTTTTATCTTCACATTGTGATGATTCTTCCAGTACAGATAGCATTTGCATTTGAAAAAAAAAAAAAAAAAAAAAAAACACTGATACAGAGAAAAAAAAGGTTCACAGCTAAAACAGTATTTTTCCGAAACTTAATTTACATAATATGTTATTTATATACGTATGTGTATAGTTATTGTTAACTCTAGAGTCACCAAACCTTAACAAAGTACATAAACGAATTACATAACATTAAACAAGCAGTGAATAATCCTTATTCAAAATGAATTTAATTAATACATAATATGAAATTTCATTATTTTCTTCTGTGAAACTTTTTCAGTGTGCAAATAAAATTGAAATCAACCCAAAAGTTTAAAAATGACAAACCTCATCTCATTATTTTGTAGAGAGCATTTAAGCATATAATGCAAATATAAGATTTGAATAAGGTGAAGACTGTATTATGACGTTGCAACGAGGTAATAGTTGGTTAAGTGTAATAAATATCTAAGGTAATAAATATCAATCTAATAAATATCATAGGTATACGATTTATTTTAATAGTCCGTGATACAGAGCCCTTTTTATCATATTATTGACACTTGCCTAAAACTTTGCGAATGGCTCCATTTTGTCGTAATCTACTTTAATTTACACAAATTCTCGAAAATGGGGCGTTTTCAAGATTGGCAAACTTGATCAATTAAATGAGTTATTAAAAAGTCATGAACATCCATTTGCTTTCCTCTAGAATGATAAGATAAATTGATCACAAAATCGAGAAAAAAGATTGCTTACATAAATATTAGACCGTTTAGCCTGTATAACCTCTTTATTTTGACAAGGTGGGTGTGGGAGTCTACATGTTCCGAGTGGGAGTCTCGTCAAACGCCCAATATTTTTTAGGCTACCTTTTTTCTCGATTTTGGAATAAAACTTTCTTATGATTTATGTTGAAAGCAAATGGGTGTGTACGAATTTTTAGTACCTCATTAAATCGATAAGTTTATTGTTATCTAAATTGAAAACGACCAATTTCCAAGAATTTTCGTAAATAAAAAAGTTGTAGGTAAATGTGCCAGTAATAGACATTGTATTAGTAATAGACAGTTTCAACTCATTAACAGATAACAAACTTTATTCGCCCAAAAGGAAGTGCAAATATGAGTAGATTTGCTGTTAAAACACTTATGAGAGCACTAGCAGATCCAGGAATTAATTTTGGGAGGAAGGCTTCAGCCCTAAAGCCTTTCTCTCTCTCTCTCTCTCCTCTCTCTCTCTCTCTATATATATATAATATATTATATATATATATATATATATATATATATATATATATATATATGACGATAATTACTTTGGAAGAAAAAGATATAAACTAGTTACCTATAAGAAATGGTGTTTAAGTGATTCTTGAAGCTCTATTAAAAGGATAATTTTTTTCGTAAGACATATATATATATTTCACCATTTGGGGGAGAGGGACTTAAGCCCGAAAGAACCCCCTCCCACCGTAGATCCACCTCTGTACGAGAGTAATTAATGCCTGAAGCTCAAGCAGTGTTGCCGTTTGTACAAGTATCCTCATAACGTATGCAAAGTTATATCTTCACTAGTGAAGTTTTGATTTGTTTTACAATTCTTTTTTCTGTGTTATTATCCATATTGAAATGTAATACCAAACTTTTGTTGCTGTATAGATTAATAAATTGCAATAATATCTACTTTGATTAGAGTATGAGTATTGTTTCCTTCATAAAACTGATTTTGTATAGATTTTTTAAAAGTATTTTCAATTTTTATCGAGTATAAAATAAAATATACCATATGTATACCAAATATAGATATACCATTAATACGCTACGTTATCTGAGGAAAAGAATTGTTCGTCTATTTTTACAGATAGATATTTCAATTCAGAATTAAGAAGCACAGAAAATATCAAGCCAGAAACGGCCATATAATTAATTTTTTTTTGTAAAATAAATGTTATCTATTCATGTAAAACTATATGTATCTATCCATAGATAAATTAAACTTTAATTCAACATAACATTTTATATTTTAATTTTGTTTGGATGATTAATAATCAGTCTGAAACTTAAATTTTTTATTGAGTAAAATATTTGAATTAACAATTACAAATGATGTTCATGTCATTACAATGTTTCTCATATTCTTTGAGTAATGAAATAAACCCAGAACAACAATATATCTATGAGGAATAAATTCTAAGTTATACAATATAATTTTAGATTAACTAAAAATATGCATGAACTTAAAGTAAATGGTATATAACAACAAAATGCTGTGATTTAGTAGTAGTGTTTGAATAATATTTAGATATGTTTTAAATTTTATTTATTTCTCAAATGATGTAAATTTATATTTTATCTTCAAAGAACAACATTTTATTGTCACACCTCTTAAAAATTAACTTAATAGTTGTTATTATAAGGAAGTAAGTATTATAATAACACCTACAGCTTTATAATACCTGTAAGTCTACCTGTAAAGGTGGACACATTGAGTTAATCCTTAAGAACTCATGAGAAGAAGAATCAATATCCAGAGATTGGAGCGAAGGAATTACTATTCCAGTCTATAAAAAAAAAAAAACGATGACATCCCATGCTCCAATTATATTGGGTTGGCATATAAGTCTATGATACATTTCTTATCTGATGAATTAATCCCTAAGGTGGATTGTTTATCCTGTTAGTAATATGTCAACAACTATATCTGTTAACTCTTGTTGAAACTAGCTTAGGTTGTGTTTGCTAATGTACTGTGAATATGGAAGAAAATATCATTCATTATCGGCATAGGTAAACATGCTGCAGAAGCTCATAGAAAAATCTGCAGTTTTTAGGGAGATGATGCCTTAACCGAATGCACCAGTCAAAATTGGTTTGCCAAATTTCATTCAGGAAATTTTGACATCGATGATGCTTAACGGTCTGGTTGCCCACATGAAATTGAAACGAGCAATTTTAAGACCACTGTTGATCAAAATCCAGCCCAATCAGAGCGATAGATTACTATGGCCCTAAATTTGTCGCACACAAGTGTAGAAAACCATTTG